TTCGTATCCCATGAATACTGTAAATGAGCAACGAAAAAAAAATCAACAGGAAGCTTCTATCCAATGTAGAGATGTCCTTCGCTTTTTCACCCTGAATAAATTAATCTTATACCTAATATCAACTATCTCTTTCTCTCCTATAATCAAATCAGTGCATGAAGGAGAGGTAATGTCACACAAATAGTGTTTATGAAATAAAACTCATCTCATTTCCGTGACAGAAAGAAAAATTATTATAGGCTCCCCAATGATCTATTTCTTTCCTACCTGATGAGTAGAGATATCATTTTCCTGTTAATATAAAACAAATATAAATTATGAAAAACAAATTTATATTTACAAATAAATACAAATTATCATTATTTGGATTTAAAATAAAAATAAATTATGGCAATTTATATTTATCTTGAACATAAATTATTTGTACTTAATTTGTAATTTAATAAAGTATAAATTAAATTATCCTATTTCATTCTGATATCTCATCTAAATGGACGAACAAGAGTGTTATGTTCCACTTTTTATAAGAGCGAAATATAAGTTGATATTCAGTAGAACATAATCTGTCTTTATTTTATAAAAAAATAACTGCCTGTAACATCACACACACATATTCATTTATTACTATATTCAAACTTCGGTAACACCAGCCATGGAATGATGTTAGACAAATGACGAACTATTGTTGTTTTCAGATCATCCGTCCGATAGCATGCTGGTTAGTAATTTAGATGTTGAAATAGTTTCTGGGCTGATTTTGTTGAAAAATAACAAAACACGTTACAGTTATTAATATATGTTCGCTTTTTTGAAATAGGGTCCCTTTGCTAGAACACAGTTTTGCGAAGGTTCTATAGGCTTTTGTATAGCTACCATAAGATCATCTCTAGACAGATGGATGTCAAGCATCGATACATTGTCAAATCTAATGAATTTCGATCATCGTAATGCTTTTTCTTGAGATGATCTTTTAAAACTAGAAATAAGAAGTAATCACTGGGAGGCAGCTCTGCGAAATAACGTTAATGACAAAGGGATGCATATTTTGAATCGTGAATAGTAGAGGCAACAAAATATTAGATATGTGCTGAAGCAATATCATGATGAAAATGACAGCAGCTGAAATAAAACCTCCCCATTGCTCTTTAATTTCCTAGTGAAGTTCATTTACTAAAATATTTGCATCACTCACACCCATACCCTCTAGAATCATTTTATACAAAGACACTATGGTGCAGGGTTTCGAGAGAACGATATCATAGAACTCCTTTAAAATGGGAACCTAGGAAATGTGCGTCTTGCTCTAAATATTTCGAATGCATAGTCTGTAGTAGTAGTTTCAGTGATGATGCTACAGATTTTTGTGCTAGAAAAAAAGATTCTTTTAAGTAAGATGAGTGCTTCAGAATAGACAGTAAATGGAATGATGTATACTAGTCATTAGATATTCGTTTTTTCAAGTCAAAATGTTCAGTATTTATATTTAATTCTTGGAGTATGATTGGTTTCCTTCGTATGCAATCCACTTGCACAAACATTCAATGTAGCGTTTGGAATAGACTGAATTGATCCATTCTTGTGGTAATTTATCATAACCGTAGTATGCACCAGCCAGCTGACCATAAATAGCTGCCGTTGTATCGGTATCATCACCAAGATTTACTGCTGCTAGAACACCTTCCTTAAACGAGTGTGTAGACCAAAAAGCCCATAATGCAGCCTCAAGAGAATTGACAACGTAACCTTTACCTCGTATTCCATCATCATAACCTTTGTCCTTCTTGAATGATCCTTTGGCGACGTTTTCAATTTCAGAAACTAAAGGTTTATTGTTGAACCAAGTTTTCATCTTGGATAAATAAAAGTCTTCACTAAGAAGTTGATCTTTATCTGTATTGTGCATAATGGCTACAATGAGTGCTCCATAATAACGACATGCATCAATGGCTTTCATATCTCCGTGAGTAATTTGACCACTAACTCCGGAGAGTTTAACAGCGATTTCTGGATTTCGGCAGAAAAATAGAGGTACAGGTGCCAAACGCATCAGTACACCATTACCAGCTGCTCCATCTGAACTGCAAGAGACATTGAATTTTTCGAGAAGTTGCTCATCTGATAGAAAATCGATTTCTTCTAATGAAATTCCATATTTTTGAGCGAAGACTGTCTGTCGATTTTCAAACTCACAAAGTGCTTTTTTAGTACTTTCACCAATATCAAAGCAAGTTCCAGTCGATGACATGTACCCATGTCTAAACCACCATTTATAGCGAACCAATTGATCATAAGGTAGAAAACGACGACGCGCCACTAATGAATTAGCTAAGCAAAGAGTCATGGATCCATCGTCTGTGAACTAAACGAAATAAGAAAAATCATTGTAAAACTGGTAAACATTTATGGACTTCTTGCTTTCCATATCAACTTTCCAGGTATTCGTGTAATATCATTGGGCTCATGTTTGTTCGTCATTATTTGTTTTGTAGAAAATTGATCGGTTTAAATAAATGTATTTCTTATATTGTCTAAGATATTCAAACTCTCGAACAATTCTCACTTCAAGAACTTGATTAACGTTGCTTTCACAATAAAACTTTTTGATTTTCTGATTTAACTATCACAATCTCAAGTTACAGTTTGTTTTGATGAAATGAATCTTCGGTTATTTTTGAAAATCGAAAACGATTGGTTCTTGTGAAACTCATTAACATGTGAGTCTAAAAATATATATTCGTAAAAGTGATACGATCCTCCACGTAACACAGACAGAGACAGGATGTGAAAAAGAATGTGAATGAGTAAGAGTAGACTCAAGTCACCACCTATCCTCGATGTCAACATTTAACTTCAAATTTTCATCGTATTTTCAGTACAATTAAAGAAACCTATTAATCATTGACTTTTCGGTGCTACCATTACAAAGGAATAGTCTCAAGGCAAAAAGTTCCATGCAGGAAAACAGTGAAGTTCAAATCTATTCTTCTAGCAATTTAAAAAATAGAACAAAATTTAATTTTTAATGAATCTCCTTTTCCACGAGTGATTATTGTGCATGTACATAAAAAACCGTCATTATTTGTCTTTAAAAATATGCTTTACTTCACAAAAGTTTTGTTTTTTCATTAGTGAACGTAAAGCATATCGCCAAAAGTATTTCTTACATAAGAAAATGGTACAGTTTATCCATGCATTACTAATTGAAATTCAATATAGATCTCTATAGAAATTATGTTCCCCGATGTTTGAATACGATATTATTTTCAAGATCGATCGGCTAGTTTCTACAGAGAAAAAAACAGGAATATAGACAGTGCCTAGAAATGAGAAAAGTATATGATTTAGACGATGGAATATCAAAAACTATGTGTCATCCTATTTGCCATATTAAAAGAAGTTCAAACAAGAGTTAAGAACGGATAGCTAAAATGATTTGAGAAGGATACAACTAAACAGCTTTCAGACATACAATCGATAAAATATTCTCAAAAACAGATTTACCTGCCCTTTTTCAAGGCCCCATGTACCGCCACCTCTTAGATCAGTAACTGGGTTAGCAAGCAAATAGGTGTGAGGTCTGAATTCGACATGAGCACCCAATGCGTCTCCCAAAATTAAACCAAATATCGAACCCATAATACGATTTAGAATGTGCCTATCAATGCTTCCGGAGGGTTCAGTAAGATATGGTTCACATTCGTTTGGTTTGATAATTGTTGTACCTTCTGGATCTTTGAATCGGCATTCTAACCAAATTTTGTCTATATAGAAATAATAATCAATCGCATAATGTTTTTGAATGCTTCATCCAATGAAATTCAAAACAATACAAGAGTTCAAATCATTACGAAAAATAATCCAAAACTATTATTCAACATTAGGAGCAGCACATTTGTTTTTATTTACTTTTAGTGGTAAGTGCTTTTTGTAATTGTTTATCTCGTTGAATGCAATATTTGATGTATAGCTATTAAAGCTTGAGTTCAACATGATACTGTTTCGAGGTTTGTTTCTTTGCAGAGCTCATACCACCTGTGTGAGTGTATATGAAAGAAAGATCAAGAAATGATCTTCCAAAGAGAATTACTGTTGAAATCAAGCTCTACAATTTGCATTCTCAAATATTTGATTCAACTTTTCAGGTACTTTTAAAATCATTTTGTGATACAAAAGGAAACAAAAATAAAATTTATCATGACATTTGATAGGACATAAATGTCATACTAGTATAGTGGATGGATCTCTCATTGCATTAAAACTAAGTTCGTTATAATCGTAGACCAAGAGTGCTGCGAAACATGATCTATATATTTCTGTATTATTCAATTACTCGAAAACTACCACCTACTTCTGTGTCAGAATTTGTTTCATTTATCATTTTTCACGCAAAACTGAATCTCGATCAGTAACCAACTCTTTGGAAATAGTTTTCTAAATAAAAGTGCTCGATTCTTTTTGAATTGAATTTGTATAAGTATTCAAACAATATTCACTCTGGATGATCCAATCTTACAAAAAAGAGTAGATCACTGAGTTAAAGTGATCCTTTCATGTAATAATCTTTATATATATAAATCTGAACGAGAAAGAATGATAGAATATATGTGGATGCTAGCCAAGATTGGTTCGAGTTAGAGATAGTTTTCTGATCACGCTTGACAAATGTGCTTCCTGAAAAGACACATTAAAGTTCTTCGTCAACGGTTCTCTCAAAGATATTACGAACAAAGAAAATTCTACAAAAGAGCTTCCCAAACTCTTTTGTTTCGAAATTCACTTAAGCCACTTTATTGTTCCAGAAGGCACCTGTCTACTCTATCACATACATTACGAAAGCGCAGAATTTCAGCAAAAGTATCTCCTATGATGCTACATGTTGATATATGCATAGCTCTGAATATTTTTTTAGAAAAAAAAAAACAACTGGCTTATTGGAATATATGTATATTATTGGTGGGAACCAAAAATAGCCTAGTTCCATTGAATGCACTCATGTCTTTTCTATTTTGCGTCGAAGATAATCGAGATGCAGAGTCGAAAATTGTCACAATAGCTAATTTAATTTGATTTATTTAATGATGCTACGCTAAATGATAAAATTTAGTGATTGGTTTTAACAAATTTCAACTTTATCATTGCTTGTACGAGAGAAAGTAAAACAAAACTTTAAATGTTAATAGATCTTCGATAGCAATCAAGTAAATATTTTATTAAACGTCACTAATTCATAGCTTTCTTCAATCTGCAATGAAAGTAGTAAGACTTGAAAATCATACTGTTTTGTTTGAAGAAGTTACAGGACTGTATTTAACGAACTTTTACATCTTGACCTGAAAATGATCTTATATAGATCATCTTGAACGCTGCATAGACTTCATTATTGATCCACAAAATGAACTAAAAATACGAATTACTTATCGTCAACAAAAAAAAAGACTGTTAGAACTATAATTACATAATGATATCGCAACTATTTTACTACTTATACCCTTTGTTGGATTCAATAAAAATCATAAAGAACAACAAAGATTAATTTTTGAGATGATATTCGACATAAGAAATTTCGAAATCAAATTACTAATGAAAGAAAAAACAAATTCCGGCAAGAAGAACAAGCGACAAAACGAGATAACTTGACTTCTTTGAGATAGACGAACTTCGCTTTTCACAGCAGTGAAAAATGTTCAACATTTGAAATGTTGGATGTATCATAAATCATGTCTCACCTGTTTTAAATTTGCATGATTGATGCGATGACCTTGTCAATCCAAAACCTAGAAACAATTTGAAAATACATTAAAAAAAGGTTGTGAGAACATAAGTCTTTATTTTAAGTCATGTAATTTTTCCCATATTATATTACAGAACTGATATCGTTTTATAGGACTTGAGCTAGCAAATATAACACTGTAGAGATTTCGCCAAAAAATGTTATCTTACAGGTATTCATGCTATTTGAGAATTTTGACAAAACCGTAGGACATGGATGTTGGTGGGGGTGAGTATGAATCTTTTATTTAACCTTACGCACACTCACACCTATATCTATTAACTTATTAGACTGCTCAGCTTAAGTACCTCGAAAATATAGATATTTTCTACCATTATTTAGAAAAAAAATCAGAGCTTGTGCATCCAATCTTTTAGATAAATTAGTTCTACTGTACTTTCTTTAGTGAGACGCCATGAACGATAATGAAGCAACATAGATCCTTACTTAAAATCTACCTAGAGAAAACACACTTATTAAAACATGAGAAACAGATGTTTGTATGCATTATGTTACACATAATGTGATTAGCAGTCGTGGCTTTACATTTTAAGAACTTTACAAAATTATTTCTATTGACAAAACTAATGACTGGCTTCATATGGTAGTCCACCAACTGTATTCCGCTGAAAATCTCATAATTACTTACCAAAAGACCCATCTTTGGATGTACGTTTGGTAGTATGATTTGAATTTGTATCTGATTGAAACATCTCATCACTAATTTCTTCCAAATCGATTTCGTCGATACCAAGATTAGTATTATATGACACATTATTGACACGTAGACGAGTCCCAGGTAACAGGACGATCTCGGTTTCATTGCTTTTACAGGAATATTCCGATATATTTTTACCATTGAGAATTTTAATTTTTAATAAAGTAGATTTTTTACCCAACATCTCCGAAAGAATATTATCTGGTACTTGTGTACACGACGTGATACCCCACCAAGTAATTATTTTTTTCTTTGGATAGTTTTCTTTAATTCTTCCATTTACAACTTGATAAACATTTCCTTTGGCAGAAGGTAATTGCTTAAGTGCTGACCAAATTAATTCAAGGTAGTTGAACCAATAATTTTTGACTTCAGTTTGGTCTTCATATCTTAATGCTTGATTAAGCATACGACTAAAACTCCTATCATTTAACTGCATAGTGTATAAATATATAGCTGCCAGTTTATCAATAGTAAGACCATTTGAAGAACTGCTATTGGCACGCCTTTTGGCTTGTTTTATGTAATCATCCAAATGAGGAATAGCGTCTCTTAGAGGTTTGAGAGCTTCTTCCAATGTTATATTACGACTATTTTGATAGCCTTCGATAGGTTTTAGTGTTCTATTTTCACAGTCAACATCAGTGAGCCGATATATCAAACTGCAATAGTGATCTATAATAATTTTTATTTTCATGTTATATAATTCATTTTGAATAAAAAAACAACACTATCGTACCACGTAGGTATTAGTCAATCTTATAGAAACTATTAGTATTAGGCAAAGGAATATTTTATAGAGATGTATGTAGAAGTACTAAATGTTACTGAAAGTTATGAGAAATGAAATCGTTCTTAGAACCATGTCGTAATATGATAACGAATAGGAATACTGTGAAATCGAATAAATAAAACGTTCTCTCTGTTACTGAGTGAATCGACGGCTTTTATATAAGATATTTGTGTTATGTTTTTATTTACAAAAAAAAACATTTCAGAAAAGTAAAAGATAATTGAAAAACATTTTTTATTATTATTAATAAATATATGATTAGTCCTTATCTCTTAAATTTTGCTCTAGAATAATGAAAAATTAGTTCATACATCGTAGTAGAGAGTAAGAACTGTTTTATAAAACCTATAATTTCATAGTTTGTTTTTGTCGCCTGCTAACGTACCCAAGTTTTAACTTTCCGAAACGAAAAGATTTTGATCTAGAAAGAGTGGATAAGATTTATTCATATAATTTTTCTCTCAGGTATTCCAGAAAAAATAGCTTTTCTAAGCAAATATTTTCAATGTCCCATCGACCGGTTGCATCCAATCCTTATTATTTCGTTACTATGGATCTTTCAAATTCTTTTTCAATACTGTACGAAGAAATCTAGCACTACATTTATGATATCATCTTCGAAATGAGTACACAGTTTGGATTCTGATCCATTTTTTTAATTGTTGAGAACAATTTTTCATGAATGTAAGAATGCAAATATTTTGCCCATAAATTTTTAAACTATTCCTTACGAAAAAATTGAATAGTCAGATACAGGTTTAACTTCCTACTCTTGTTAGGATGAATATAGGAATTACTCAATTTATGTGTTCTCAATAGCAATTTGTAACAAACTATTCTGATCAATAATCAATTTCATTTGTTGTTGTCGAATATAATACTTTTCTGTATAGTTATTCTAAAAATTTCTCACTTTTCTGTTAACATTCTGAACTGATCTTAAAATCGAAACAAAGCAACTTTTAAGCAGTCAAACAAAAATTCTAACTCTTATTGGTATTTCGACAAACGTTTTCACGTACCAGAATTTTCAAGTGCTTTCTTTTGAGAACCATCATGATTCGATTTCGATGAAGATGCACCTAAAGTCGAGTGTAAAAGATCTTAAAAATATCACATTCAATTTAATGAATAAAGAACTATCATAATAATAATATTGATTCCATGATTCATTTCATGTGTCAAATTTTTTTAAGAGAACTTAATTTCTAGATAAAGACCTTCGTAATGTAATTAGAGCTTCCTTTAGCTTTCATTATTCGAAAAGGTTATACTGCGATTTGTTTTCGTTTGTCAAGACTACTTTTATATATTCGAGTGTTAAATAGGTTATTTTCCTGAAAATTGAATTTCCAGTGTATCAAAGAAAAAATGGTGAATGTCAATCACAATTCTTTTGATTGAAAAACTAGTACTTACTATGATCATTGGTAGATGATGAAGCATGTGCTTTCGAACGAATTTGTACATTTTCGTCTTGTTTTTGGTCGACTGTTTCTTCTAGCTCTACAAGAGTGATATTATTGTTATGTCGATACCGTTTAACCATTTTTACAATCAGAGTGGTTCCAGGCATTAAAATAATTTCTTGTGTCATATGATCATGTGTAATGTTGGAAATATCTCTGCCATTGATAGCATCGATCTTGATAAGAGTTCCACTATTGCCAACACAGTTTTCTAGGATGAAATCCTGAGATTTGGAGCATGAACTTATTCCTTGCCAAGTGATGGTTTGTCCGCTTTTGAATCTGTTCCCTATAGCAATATTGGTGCCACGCCAACATTCTCCGTTGTATAATGGTAAGTGTTCAACTTCACTACGAAATAATTGAAGATAAGGAAGCCAAGACTCTACTTCGTCTTGGTGACCAGATTTAAATGCTTCATTTAGTAATTCACACAAAGGTTGTGTACCACATTCCGATGTATATAATCTTACAGCAGTCATTTCTTCAGATAGATCATCATAGTGGTTAGTAGCCTGTTGTACGAGATTAATTATACTTTGAGTATGCTTTTGTATGTATTTAACAACCATCTTGAATGTTAGTTTGGGAGACGGTTGTTTGTCGTGGACGAGTTTTAATTGCTTGTTTTCGTAATCGATCATTTTAAACCGCTTCCATTGATAAAAAGGGCCTAAATATTTTCATTTGAGACATATTTTAACTTAGACAGAGATCAATAATGCTTTTCGATAGAGCAAGTCAGATGTGTTAGAACAAAGATCTACTCTTATCCAGGCTTATCTATGCAGTAGTATCATGAAACTAAAGTCAAGGATTTATTAGTAATAGATAAACGTTACCAAACATATTTTTTCAAATGCGTCAGGTCATCGCGTTGAGGAGGATAATTAGATGCTTGTGGGTGCGAGTATGGGTAAGATGAGTGATGAGTATATAGAGTAAGTGAGTGTTAGTACAAAACGATGATTTTGTAGTCTTGGGATAATTCTATCAGTGAACATGTTGTCCAATTCAAATAGCCAAACAGATTTAGATTTCATATAAAATTACTGAACGCATTCTTCATTACATGTTTAAACTGGTTCGAATTCATTGTACAGTCTGTACATAGCACTTGTAAAGCCATATGATCTAAGGTTTTATATCTGACTAATACTTGAAGAGACTTCTTATTTGAGATATAGAAATCGAAAAATTTTTATATTGGGTATGTCTTAACTACTATTAGTTGGTTTTACGAGAAACTTGTTCAGAAGAGTAAAACTTACGTCACCCTTTCATTGAACAAAAAGCCAATCACTAGTTAGCTTCATAGAATCATAACACTAGATATTTCTCACGATTTTAACCATATTTTCTTTCAAGTTAAATTGGAGTTTGGTAATTGTTGCGACTTTCAATAAAGCCTTACGTATCAAGAAAAATGTTGGCTTATTGAAAAACTAAATTATCAAACACTATAGCTTAATGGTTTCATTTGCGTAAGACTTTCAGAAATGGCTCATAATGTAGATCGATTCTCTTCTGATGAAGCGAGATAAAAAAAAAAGAAGTATCTTGATGCAATCGATGAAAAAAGTGGGTGAAGTAGTATAGTTTGATCGTTTTTTTCTTCAAAATCCAGATCTAAGTATAGGAAACAAATACTCACCAGATTGACTATGTTCCAACTGGCTCTCGGATTTCAATTGATTTGGTATATCGACTTCTTTTTGTGCACTAGGTAGTTCTTCTAAATGTACTAGCATTACGTTACTAATGTTCTTATATGGTTCAATATTCTTCACAATCAGACGAGTGCCTGGCATCAGAAGGTGTTCTATCATGTAAGGATCAGACGAGTATTTAGAAATATCTTTGGCATGCATAGTATCAATCTTAAATAGTACTCCTTTTTGGTGAATACTATTTGTTACTAGCAATTCGGACAATCTTGAACAGGAACTTATGCCAGACCAAGTGACATATTTTTCTCGTTGTATTTGCTCTAATAATATAGGTTTGCCAACTCGCCAACACTGTACTTTACAAGTAGGTAATTTTTCAGTTGCAGAATAGAATAATCGAAGAAATGGCAGCCATGCTATGCGTGTTTCTTTATCTGCAGAACGTAGTGCTTGATTCAGTACTATATACAAACTCTTTCCACCCATTTCTTTGGTGTACATATGCAGAGCGGCACATTCGTCAAAAGTCAGTTTGGTTAGTTTTTTGTCAATAAAACGCTCTTGAGCCCCTTTCAGATAAGCCTCCGCATTAGGAACACGATTATTCAGTTGCCTAAGAACTTGTGTTATTTTTGGGAGAGTGTCATTTGTGTCTAATCCATCGATAGGCCAAAAATTCTTATTTTCCCATTCAAGTTGTATAAATCGATGTAATGTATTATTTGTAGCCATTCTCAATCGATAAAGATAAATAAATCTGAAATGAAAAAATTAACCAACATATTTCGATGAAACATGAATATCTCTTTTTTTTCGTAAGTAGTTGTTTTCATCTTTCGAATTGGGAAGAAGAAAAAGAACGAAAAAAGAAAATAAATAAAAACTGTCTCATAGTGCAACCCTTTTTGCAGATTCAAGAATCACATGGTCGTCTAAAGCAAATAATCAAAATTTCTTATTCATCTTATTGCATCAAGGGGTAACTTATTTTTCTCTTTTGTAGGAAGAACAAAATATTCTCCGCGACAAACTCATTTTACATTTTACCATGGCCATCGAAGCACGTGAAGTGACTATAATGCAAGGTAGTAAAAAAAATAAAATAGACATATGTACATTAGATTGTTAGGAGAGAGCTTGCATGAAAGCAGCGGAAAATCGAAGGTGTGGGTGTGGATATTTATGTGCGTGAGTGCGACCTTGGCTGTGATCCTCTATTCATTCCGACCCAGGCTTGGACTTAGACCTAGACCCACACCTCTTACATAAATGTTTTGGTTATAGGCTTTTTGCTGATGCAGTGCTAATTCGAATTATTTTTCACTCATTTTCTCGATAGTATTCAGCTCCTAGACTTTCATTCATACTTGAACTCGAATTAGGAAACTGATGGCTTTCGCAGCACGCACAACGAGAGATTGACTATGTGTTTGTGTTTCCACGATATTTATATTTCGAGAGACACGGTATGTGCGTTTTTGGTAATACCTGAAAAGTTGAATATTTG